TCCTCCATTGGTTGGTTTGATGTTTCGTCCCTCGTCAGGGTCCGTTTACCAAACTACGGCCTTTCACCTCATATTTTTTCAGCCTTCTCAGTCAAACACCGAACCGTTGTCGTGGAACGGGTCAAGAGACCCGAATAGATTGAGACCCATTTACTCGTGTTGTCATAGCACATGTTTTTCTACTCGCTGACAGGGCTGACAGTGGATATTTCGCATGATAACGTTGCTCAAACAAGTAAATTCGCGCAACGTATGGTCTTTTATTAATCATATGTGTAAAGGACACGATATATGTGTATCCCATATACACAAATCCTGAGAAATTTGGAAATTCTCCAAGTGAGACTGTTGATCAGATAATCATACTGTGGATTACAGGCACTGAATGTCTGTTCTAGTCACTGCACCCCGGATGCATATGGGGTGGAACTACCTTTGATTCCTAAAAATCATACGATAGAAATAGAATAAAGAATGGGCTTGATTGCACTTCAGTTTTGCCATGGAATTTGGCTTACTCAACTCATGGTTCGTGGAATATAGCTGCCGCTTCTCGATCATTTGGCGATGTCATATTTGTTGACCTACTGAATGTAACTTTTTGCTGAGAAGATCTGTCTTAAATTATTTGGAGTGAACAAATATTTACATTTATATGCAATGAAATATTTTTGTTTGGAACTGTTCAATTAAAATGCTTTAGGTGAAAGCGCTGCTGACCGAAAAACAACTGTTGTTGGGGCATAACAAATCCATAGCCGAGCGAAACCTGGCCAAAGAACCGGAATTGAATGAGGCGAGAGAGCGTTTAAAAGCGTCGTACGAAAAGGCTGTATCTTTGAGGAACGAGTTCAACGCCAAGAAGTCAGAACTAGGTATCTTTAGTGCGTCATTTGGTGCGATGGCGGCTGTTTGAACGTTACGGTTTTGCAGAAGGCATATGCGACCAGCGCTCACTGGGCACGACATTAGCTCTTCTGCAAACGGCTGCGGCACAAAGCGAAGAGGAGAGTGATGTAAGTGCAGATCTTGAAATAATTGCACATTAAAACTATCATCTGTTGGATATTCAACTTCGCAGTTAGGTATCGGCTTGGGCATTTTATTCTCATTTTTGTTGATATTTTTTGTTTTAGTTTGCTGTTATTTATTTAGCGTTTAATTTGCGTATATTTGTGGGTTTATTTTATCTGAGATGAAACGATAATTTTCAGGTAACTTCTTTAAACAGTTAACTTCCCCGTTCATTTTGCTAGTTATTCTTTTATTTCACATGAAAAGAGGTATCTGATTGTGCACATATCTGTTCGATCTGGACTGAGCTGCGATTCGCAGATTAGACAAATCTACCCATTCATGCACTTTTACATGCAGCTATTTATTTCAGTAACGAAGGCAACAGTTTTCAAGATAATGATGATCCTCCATCAACTGGCCAAGCTCAGTCGACTAGATTTGTGGCAACTTTTCTTTATAAGTCTTTGGCTTTGAACAGAATCTTTCTTGCGAGCATTTCCTCTAAAACGCTTACAGTGTTCAACCATAGAAACTCTTATCTTTGGGTGACGAATACAGATACCTCAGATTCCTGTGCTTCGAAAGTTGCCAACTGACTTGATTCGAAAATAAATAAAAACGAAATTAGGAAAATTTTGACTCAACCTCCGAAGAGGGCTGGAATTGACTCCAGCACACCGAATTTGCTCTTAGAACTTAGTATGGTTATGTTATAATGGCTCAACGTAGCTCGCATAAAATATCGTTTATGATTTCAGTTTGTCGCCCAATCTTAGTCTCGTCTTCAAGTATTGATTGAGCTTTAACACCTCTCACTAGGACTTAGTTAACATGAAAGTCGAGTTAACAGAATAACAATACGTTATTGCCCGTGCTTCAGGCGTATTACCTTCGCGTTTCGTTCATTGACGAACTCTGTTTTGTACAAGTAATTATGGAAATGCATAATAATCTTTTTTTAGAAAATAGCTGATAAATTCTTATCAGGAACGATGGACATCGAAGAATTCATCGACAAGTACAAGGAAACAAAGCAGCTGGCGCACACGCGAAAAATCAAGGCCGATAAATTAATGGAAATCGTTCGATCTCTCGGTGACCGAACCATGTAACGCCGATGAGCTTCGGCGTTCATTGACGCGTGTACAAATTTCTGCTGCGCCTTCCTCTTCCCCCATCTGCTTCACAGTCTTCTAAGACTTATAGTCAACGTCGGCCTTCATCGAGTTTACGTGAGATAAGGCGAGAAGAAATCGAGCCCCTATAAATGCTCATCAGAAAATTATATCGAGATGAATGTTAGTTATTACATGAAAATCTGTTCATTTTTTGACATATAAAGTAAAATTAGTACTTACATTTTGAACATAGAAACATTATTGATAATATGCTCACCAAAGCTGAACATTTTAATTAATTTTATAGTTTATCTATTTTTAGGTAAGTCACAAACGGGATGACAACGCATAAAATGGTCTTTAATTAGGGACATCTGACGTTTTGGACCAAGCTCGGTTCGTCTTCAGAGTACAGTGACAAAGGGCACATAAAGTTTTCATTCGGGTCTGGTTAACCCGCATGATTAATGGAGCCGTGTTTGCTTTCTAGTCTTTATCGGTCGCCTGATGTTTGCGGACCATGTGTCGCTGACGTCTGTTCCAAGGTCACAATTGATGCAGTTGGTTGCTCGGATCAGTAGAGCTTCCTTGATTTTGCGGAACAGATATTGTTGTTCCCGCGTGACGCCTTTCATTTTGTCCCATGAGATGCTGTATTGGTGGGTAACAGCATGTTCCACAATGGCAGAATTTTTTTCGTATTCTGCCTTTTTAAGTCCAGGGTTTTTTGTCTGTCTCCGACCTCTACCGACTTGCTGTTGACCCTTTTCTCTAGCGTCAGCGTTCTTCCACCTGAGGAGATTCCTCATGTGGTCTGTTGTCTTCCTTTCTTCAACAGTGTTACCCGTTTCGCATATGTAAGCCACACCACAGGAGCACGGGAATTGGTACAATCAGCCGGCTTTCTGTTTCTGTTCCTAGGTTTCTGGTCTTAAGGTGGCTTAGTCGGCTACGTAGAGTAGCACCAGATTTGAATACCAGGTTGAGTCTGGATGCAGATCCAGTGCGTCGCAGCTTTTCACTCAGCTGGCGAAAGTATGGCGGTAAAGAAATGTAAATGTTGTCATCAGGTGAGCGGCGAGACACCTTTTGTTTTGATAAACTTGCCAAGCCTTCGTTGAAAGTCTTCATCAGATAGCCGTTCTTTTTTAGCGTCAATCTGATGTGATTTAATTCTTGGCAAAAATCATTATCTGTTGTGCATATCTTCCGGCCTCTTTCGGGAAGTGTATTGACGACACCTTTCTTTACGCAGTTTAGATTATAAGAAGAGTGATGTAGATACTTATCAGTATGCGTCTTCTTGCGAAACATTGTGATCAAATATCTCCGCTGGTGGTGTTCTTACTTGCACATCCAAGAAAGGGAGAGTACCGTCTTCTTTCTCCATAGGGAAAACGATTAAACTTGGGAATAGGCTGTTCAGATGTTTCAAAAACGGCGCTGAAGTTCCATTTTTGCAAAGAGCAAATATGTCATCAACATATCTTTTGAAAAAGGTTGGATAGGTATCTTTGTTACCCGTAGCGAAGGCCAAGTGTTCTAAATGTTCCATAAATATATCAGCCAGGGCAGGGGACAGAGGCGATCCCATATTGATTCCTTTGTACTTACGATATAGATGGCCATTGAGCTGAAAGTAATTGAAACCAATGAAACCGGAACAGCTTAAGAATCGAAGTTGTGGAGAAAGGCGTTTTGTTCTTAAGGTTTGGGTCGTTCGTCAGTTGTTCTTCGACAGGGATGCTGGCATAGAGGTCCTTTACGTTGTAGCTCACTATAATTTCATCATTGTCGTTCATTCTTGAGAAAATTTCTTGGACGAACTTGTATGAATTTTTGACTTATGATTTCAACCTACCTGTATACGAATGAATGGTAGGGCGAAGTAGTCGTGCAACCAAAGCCGAAATGCAAGATGATGATGCAACAATAGATCGCATAAGAATATTCGGCTTGTGAATCTTTTGTAAGCAGTACAGTTCAGGAGGAGACTAATTGCATTTGCACCGGTTTCAATAATATACCCTTTGCTCTGAGAGCACACATTTCATTCTTCTTTTCCATTGTTGTTATCACTTTTTTCAAGGACTCTATCAACCGTTTTATTGGATCTTCATCGAGCAGGCCATAGGCGTTGTTAAGCAGCTCTGCGCAGCTACTTAGATATGAAAGACAACGATGAATTTATGGTGGACTTATCAACACAACATATCGTGGGACAGAATGAAAGGTGTCGCGCGGGAACAACAATATCTTTACCGCAAAGACAAGGAAGCATTATTGATCCGAGCAATCAACTGCATCAATCGTGACCTTGGAACAGACGTCAGCGACACAAGGACTGCAAACATCAGGTGGCCGATTAAGACTAGAAAGCAAACATAGTGCCATTAATCATGCGGGTCAACCAGATCCGAATGAAAACATTATTTGCCTTTTTAGCATTGTACTCTGAAGACGGCCGAGCTTGGTCCGAAACGTCAGATGTCCCGCATAAAGGAATCAAGTACGATTTTCAAGTTTATGTATTTATGATTATTATATTTGATCGTAGCATATTAATTGATTGTTTAATTATTTATCATAAACAGTAATGCTTATGGAAATAAATGATATGCTTGGTACTTATTAACAATCCAGTTATCTATATGAACATGTAAAGCGTGATCGTTAAATAATTAGTATAAGCGCAGTAGTATAGTAGTATTTCTAAGTAAGAATCCATAAATTGCTGGATCATGTGAAATGTTGTATCCTCGTTGTTCGCAGAAGCCGAGGGAAGCAAGGCTAAATTATATTTGAAGCACACAGAGTTTAGGTGTATTTCGGTTCATTTAATTGATAAAAAATGCCTTGCGCTTCGCCGATGATATTTCAGTAGCAAATGCTGCTTGTATACCTTCATGTCGCATTTTTTAGCTTTGTATCCCGGAAAATATCGAGGCAGGCTCGTAACTGCGGATACCCATTATCATACAGCCGTCACCAGCTTAGTCTAAGGTCATTTTTGTCATATCTATAATTTAGGTTCTGACCGTCAACTTAGTGAATATTGACTGGGTAGCTGTTGATCTGACACAGGTTTAAAGGATAGGTCTTTGATCACTTGTGCTACTTTTATGCAAAACTCATTTTCGCATGCATTGTTCAGTTCCCTGTAGTCGATTCAACGTAAGATTGAGAGACATGGCCTCGCATTGCTGTTGATTAATCTTTCGTTATTTTCATCTGTACAGCCAAGCAAGTGTGATACGTTCTGCATTAAACTTCGCTTAAAGTTGAGGAATGTTGACAGAAAGCATTGAAACATTCATGATAGCCTTACTCACTTATAGTTCATATGAGTATCATTTGTGATACAGTGTAGCACTTAGTTCTGAAACAGTGGCGTTGCTTAGTTATTTTATTTTGGCAGTTTTTTGTCGTTGGCTTGGAACACAATATTCTATGACAATCTTGTTCAAATAGTAAACTTTCTGTTTCAATTTTCGACTGTATTATCGTTATGGTACGTAACGAACGCAAACTGGCGCTCCTCCATCGTGTTCTATTTTTGTTGTCTACATGCATCCTTGGTCAGGTACTTTGAGCTTCAGATTGTGGCAACTCGTTCTTGTACGATCGAGTAGATGTTTGTGGTCCAAAAAAGAACATTTTGTAACGTCCACTGGTTACCTCTCTTGCGAGCCACATGGCCAGCCAATCTTAGAAAGTAGAAAGTGCGCCTTTTAATCCAGACAGTTGTCGAATTTGTGCACTCGGAACGTGATTTGGACTAAGTATTGCTGTAGTAATATAAAACATAGCCCACCTTCAGGTACGAGGGACAAACATTCACCTGATGATACATAAGGCTTCATTAGCAAAAGAGAAAATTATTACAGCTGAAAAACTACGGGTTTTAAAGGACCGCGCAGGCGACTGAGGCAGGCTGCGAAAAGTCGACGATCAGAACCTGTTTATCGCCCTCTGTCAGCCAGTGGCATAGAAGAATAGTAACGGCTGACGAAGACCAATGAAACGATGACGAAAATACCAGTCAGCAACGGAGTCGCTTCCCGTGGAGGCAGACAGCGCGATGCCATTATAGCACGTCAAAAAAGGCTCCATGAGAATGGCTTAGCTCTAAACTCTCACTTACATTCGGAAATTCCAAACTTTATTCTAGGTTACGTAAATTTCTTGTTAAACACATACCTTATTTATTTATTGTTTTTATTAATACCCGACACTTAATGTACTTATGG